CTTCCTTCCTTCCTTCCTTCCTTCCTTCCTTCCTTCCTTCCTTCCTTCCTTCCTTCCTTCCCCCTTCCCCCTTCCTTCCTTCCCTTCAATGAACTCAATATAGTAAGTTCCCTTGACATTTAATTATCTGAAATAGAATAAAGGGCAGTCAAAAGTGATAGTCATTAAAAACAGAGTAAGAGAGGTCTATGCTCTAACTCCTCCATCCTGTGAAACTAACAAGCTGAAACTTTTTGACCACTACAAGGAAAAGGGCATTCATGAAGAATCCCCCTGAAGCCTGAAGGAAATGCATGGGGCAAGATAAGCCGACCTGACATCAATAGATGGTTTCACTACTATTATTGCTGGAACCTCAGTCCACATCACTGTACTGTGGTTACAGCTTAATTTGGTTAACTTGCCCAGTGTTGCCTGGGCCACAGCAAAGCCAGAGAGGAAAAGCCCCCTCAAGGAGGGGTGGTGGGTATGAGAGATGTGAAGGTCTGGAGGTCTGCGGTGTGGGCTCTACAGCCAGACTGCCTTGGTTCTTGATCCTGGCTCTGACACTCTCTGGCTGGATGACCTTAAGCAAGTAACTGAAATTCCTCACATCTTAATAAAATAACAATAAACCTACTGGTTACAGAGGCTTGCCATAATGGTTAACTGAGTTACTATATAAAAAATGTCTAGAAGAGTGCTTAGTACGTGGTAAATATTACTATCATCATCATTATTGCTATTATTCTTGTTACTATAACAACACTCTCTTACGAGTGTCAATCCACTGTCTGGCTGCCCTCCTTGTAAACTGAATCAGGAGCCAAAATGCCTACTCACCATAGGAAATAGAATCCCCCTGGGCTATTTCCTTGAAAAGACCAGAAACATCAAGGTCAGGCACTCCAAGGGAAGCCTGCAGAATGGTGGAAAACTCCTCCTCTGTTATGCAGCCATCCTCATCAACATCAAAGAGCTTAAGGAAAAAGAAAAGAAAATATAAGAATGAGCTCCCTCAATAGTGACATGGAATACTCTTAAAAGATCAAGGTTTTACTAATTCAAACACCTGCTGTGCCTGGGGCTGAGGATAAGTCTATGAAGGAAGTATGTTCTCCACTGGCCTCACAACACTATGGCTTGGTGGTGAGAAAAGAGAGAATTCAAATAGGGGCTAGACAATAGGAGTATAAAGGACATGGGAATCCTGTGGAGAACAAGATGAATCCTGCCCAGAGAGGTCGGGGAGAGCTTTACAGAGGAGTTGACATTTGAGTTGGCTCTTGGAACATGAAGAATATACAAGGACTGGTAGGTGATTGTAGGGGGCTCCATCACCAAAGGCTGGGTAGGGGTCAGAGCATGATGGATATAGAATGCCTCATTAGCCCTGTAGGATTATGATAGTAGGGGATGTGGTGTGACCACATTGAACGGAGGGAGCTCTTTGGGGCTGAGTGTGAAGGATGGTTTAGGGGAAGAAGGACGAAAGGATTAGAGGCAGGAAACCAGTGAAGAGTCTTGGGTGGAGAAGCAGGGAGGAGAGGGAGGGACAGGATTTATAAGGAAGCAAAGACAGGCCTTGCATATCAGTCAGAGGGCTGTAGGGAGGGGAAAAAAAAGAGCAAATGGCTGAGATGTTGTAGCTTGGGCAACTGGGCTAAAGTGGGTTGCCTTATTAAGAGTGGGTGAGCAGGTGTCCAGAGAAATCAAGAGCTGGACCTGGAGAGGTGAAATTTGAGTTGAAGGTGCTAGGAGGACATAAGAGAGTCAGTATATCAGCTTGGGAGAGTAAGGGGGCTGGAGATAACGAGTTCAGAAAAGAATGGAAACTACAGGTGTTGTGGAGCTTATCTGTAGAGAATGTATAGAGTAAGGCAGAGCTCTGGGAAGAGCAAGAGTTGAGTGTGTGTAGGCCAGAGGAACTAGTGAAAAGGACTGAGAAGAAGTAGTTAGAGAGATGGAGGACCAGAAAAAACGAGCATGAATCTTGGAGCTAAGGGGTGCACTTGGGAAAGAGGAAGAGATCTGACAGTGGAAATGGCCAACAATGTAAAATACAATAAAAAGGCCAAGCAGGAAGTAAGGAAGTTCGCTGGGTCTCGCAGCTAGGAGACTGGCTGACTTTAGTGATCACAGTTTCAGGGAACTGGAAGCCAAATGGTAATGGGAACCAAAGAATGAATATGGTGAGCAGTGGAGGCAACAAGCAGGGACTTTTTAAAGAAATGATGGAATAAAATGGAGGAATAAATGGGGCTGTAGCCAAGCACAAAAGGAGGTTGTTCTGGGGAAGGGAGAGACTGTCTTTACAGGTGGAGGAGAAAAGGCAGTTGGGTAGATAGACTGAAAGTCAAGTAAAAAATTAGGGATAACCTATAGATAATTAATATCCCATATTCAAAATCCTCTCCTGTGTATTAACTTCTTTTAATAATATAAGCACTGACTGTACTGGCACTGGCCAGGAGCATTCAAATCACCTTACACGTATTAACTAGTTTAGCTCTTACAGTAGTCTTCCACAATGCAGCTGCCACTCTTAGCCCTATCTTATGGATGAGAAAGTGAGGCACAAGGAAGTCAGGTAACTTTCCCAAGGTCACACACTCTGTAAGTGGTATTGCTGGCACCCAAACCCAGGCAGTGTTCCAGAGTTCCTGCTGGTAAGGTATCTACTTCTGATCAAATACATGATCAAATGCAGAAAAACACGGGCATTAGACAAGGTGTGATATTCATGAAAAGAACAACACGAGATACTGAAGAGTGTTCTAATTACCCATTAGGGTGGAAATAGAAGAATTAATTTTAAGTTGTTGATTCGCTGCCTCTGGGCTGAGAAAGCCCTGACTTATGGACCCTGTTCCACCACTCAGCCCCTAAGTGGGTGGTGAGATAGTTGGAGAGTGAAAAGTGAATTAGGATTTGTATTCACATACTACAAAGTAGCCCCGGGCTCTTGATGGACTAATAACTGCCAGGCTTCAGTCCCAGGCTTTCCCCACAGGCTCTAAGCTGCCTCCAAGGCCTTGCATTCCTAAACAGTTCTTAACCAGTTCATCTAACTGTCTAAATTCTGGCCACATTTGGTGCTTTGGAGGCTCTTATTTCTGTATAAGTCCCTTTCACATGTCCTTACTGAGGGCTTTATTTCCTCGCCATCTGCCCTTTGTCACAACTAACCCAGATTGCTCCCCTCACTGAAACCCTCAATTCCTCATCCCTCCCAATAGTCTCTCTGCTACAAAATTCCCAGATCCAAGGTAAATCCCATGCTCTTGGCTCTGGTAGGAAGTTTAACATCCCAGAGTTCTTTGGGGGAATTATTTCTCCCTATTGCATATATTGCATAGATTGCATAAATACTGTGGGACACTTAATCAAAACATCCTATTTTTCTTAGCAAGCACATGGCCTGAGACCATTCGGTTCCTGCCTGGAATGTGAAGGACGAACAGAGCTGGAGTTTGCTCATTCTCACTGTAGGGTGCAAGTAAGAGTATACAGCAGGTGCTGCAGCTGGAGCCCCAGGCACTGTCTGCTTCTGAGTCTTCCTTTGAGCTCCCTCCCTGCCCTTACAGCCAACTCCTCAGCCACAACCCATGCCTATTGTTTACAATTAAAGAACTCTGACTGATATGCTACCTGTAAAGGTCATGTGATGATGAAATGATATCAAAGATGGGAAGTTAACTGTGAAATGCTACCCAAATAAAAGGATGTGAATAGCTCCTACATACCTAAAAGGATATACTAAATGAAAAATGAAAGTGTGCCAGGATATTTTCAGAAATATCAACACACCTGAGAAGGAAAGTTGAAAATCAGTGTAGAGTGTGACCTTTGCATATTGAAAAGAGAGCTAATTATAGTTTTAGGTCCTTGTTTCCTCCCTCCTCTCCCTCCAAACCAAGGTTTCGGCTAGATAAAAAATCTGAAGACTTCTTTAAAAACAATAATTATCGTGATTAAAGGCCAAATTTGCTATCAGGTCTTTCATTGGTAAACCAAAAGTGACCATTTGCCCAACTAAACTTATAATTACACATGCAATCTTCAAACAAAACAGAAATATCTGGGTTGGAAAAGTTGGTGACGTGTATAATTTTAGGTTTTGTGATGAGTTACTCTGTACAAGCTGAATGTTTTAAACTTAGAAAAAGTGTTGGCCTTTGCCTTATGACCATCTGCTAAGCATCAGCTGCTGAGGTTCTTCACAGGCCTAGCGGTTAACTCAGTTTAAACTGAAAAGTGAGCCTGGGGACTCCTCTGTCACTGAGGGAACACAGGAAAATTCCTGAGACTATCCCTGCTGGCTTCTAAAATATGAGAAAGGGCACTTGAAGGAAGGGAGTCTTTCTAGATAGTAAAGGGAGAAAAACTTGGAGTTACCAGTGGGACAGTCTTTTCAGAGCACATCAGGAAAAGCTATGAGTAGGAAACGGAAACAGAGAAGGTCCTCAGTCGCCGTGGTGGATGGAAGCAGAGAGAACACCAGCAGCTGAGTGATGAGTCAATAAACACAGCTTGGGGAGATGAGGAGGGAGGCCAAACATTTTTTTTTTTTTTTTTTACTTCACAGCAGATCATATGAGCTCAGAAATGGAAGGGACCATCCCATTAAACTCTAGATGAAGCACTTTTTATCTCAAAGGAACTGAAAATACAGTTTGGCAATATATTCTTCCCCTTCCTTTTGGGCATGAAAGTGATAAATGGAGTCTGAGTCCTCACAAATCACACCTCCATCAAGTTCTCTGGGGATTGGGGCCGTGGATTTCATTCATCCATCACCCTTCCACTCCCACCCCCGATATTCTTGTGAAATATGTGGTGCTACAGGGAAACGGAGGGCTAAAACTTGGGACATTTATGAGGATTCTTCCCTGACACCACCACAACAAAATTAATTCCATCAGGAAAACACCACTTAAAATATCTGACATGCAGAGTGGCAAATAAGGATAGATGAGAACTTTCTGGATGGTGAATTGGGATAACTAGTGACAGGTGGTATTTATTTATAAACCTCACTTTGAGGCTCCAAAATGGAGAGGCTGAAAAGAAATAATTTTTTAAGCTAATTTGTTAAATCACCTGCTCTTCAATTTAGATGCCCTTAGCTAGGCTGCTTCCAAAGACTTTTTTTTTCCTTAAACTGATGCTTGTTTTCTTTATTCTCAGTAGCAATCGTGTTAATCACATTACCCTTGTGTACATGTCACAGCGGTTCTAGAAACTCATGTAACAGATTCACTGATTTTCAAATAATACACTTAGAGTCAACCCTTGTTTACGAGGCAAGCAAGATGCTTTCAGTGGGGCTGACAGTACCTTAAATGCCACCTGGATGATCTCCTCTGTGTTGGCAGGGTTGCACAAGACTGCGAGGCCAATCACATACTCACGGAAGTCAATACTGCCATCGTGGTTCTGTGACAGGATGGGAGAAATCAGTTAGCAGGCCCACTACCTGAATTACCATTCATCACAGCCCACACAGAGAAGTTCAGGTATGCCATGCAGCTCAATATCATCATGCACTGGGCCTAGCTGGAGAAAAGTTCACACTGAGATGGAATGGCAAGCAAGTGGCCCACCCATTCCAAACCCAGAGGGGAAAAAATTCTGTTTAGCAATAAATACAAACATGTTCTCACTGAGGCCATTTAGAGTGATTCTGTAGCACCCATTGTGGGTTCTTGAGCCCAGCCCTGATGGGAGACCCTCTGGGAGGCAGAAGGACTTTCATCCTAGGTGGGAAGGCAGCATTCATTTTATCATTGGTGGTTCCCCTGCCACAATGGCCAACATCAACAGGTCACTAAAGGGTCACTAAGCAACCCTCTACTTGTAGAAAACGGAAGGAAAAGGACAACTTGAGGCAACAGTTGCAGCTACATTCTTTGTTTCTTTCAGGCTTAATGTGCAATGAACCAGGAGCAAGTGAGTAAACTTGTACTGCTATGGCCCCTTGATGATATCAGGCCCCAGAAGATCCTGCACTTCTAAGCATCTGGAAACTACACCTAACTAGTATATTAGTATCTATACACCTTAGGAGGTATTTGGTGTTGGCAATATGAAAGAAGAGGTTGATAATTCCAATCCAGGCTGACTGAATGCAGAGTTCTTCCTACATGTGAAGTACTCACCTAGACAGGAACACTGGGGATGAAATGGGGGGAAAAGAAAGAGAACGGTAAACAAGCATTATACTTATAATCCCACGTGTTAGAGTTACTTTGGCAGCAAAATCTTCAAGTGATGAATTCCAAGATACACTATGAACTAGTAACAAAAACAAAGCTAGTGCAGTACTTGATAGATTAACAAAGAATGTTTGGCATCAATAAGAGTAATCGTCAACTGTGACTAAGTATCTACATCAAGAGTTTCTTTAGGGCGAGGATTGCTTTGTGTTCCCCTTGCCTAGCACTCCTGGGGTTTCATGGGTGAGCCTGGGAAACCAGGAGGCTGTTGAAGCTCCTTAAATGGTATGTAGTTTTTCATTTAAATTTTTCTAGGGAAAAGTTTTATAGCTTTTATCATCTTCTCAAAGCAACCAAGATGGAAAAAGTTAAAAATCAGTTTTACCATACTAATTTATCTCACTGCAGGGTGGAGACTAAAAGCAGTAATAATTTAATTTTCTTCATTATCTAATGAAGGACTGTTATTCATTAAGTTGAACAGCTCATGGAACCATGGCTATATTACTGAAGCTAGATAAATTTCTTTTGCAATGCTTTCTCCATGATGCAATTTAGAAGTCTTGAGTAGAAGTTCTGAAGAATAGATATAAAGGTGATCTATGGGCAAGGAAGATACAATCCTAGATTGTATGGCTGCAAATAATTCTTTAAATTAATGTTATATCTTTATTGTGAGGTATCCAATTTTTATTTATATTACCAAACCCTATGTGTAATACCGGTCAAGCATTATAACTCATTTTTCAGATGGAGAAAGAGAAATGTAAAGGACCTTAGTATTATTACCAGTCACAAAAACAAGGTGATATTCTGGACCCCTGATTTTAATTAACAGTCTTATATGTGAGTGATTCTGACCTAAAGAATGTTAAAGTAGACCCTTCATAATCAATCACATGAGAAATTTGTTAAGTTTTCATCTTAGTAACATAAAGAGGAAAAAAAAGGAGGATGGAAACTTTCTAAGACATTTTATTATTGGACTGACAAAATAATACTTGTTAAGGTTCCAGATTCAGGATAATGAAACTCAGAACTGCACAGAATCTTAGAAATCATCCATTCAACCTCTTCATTTTTACTAATGAAAAAACTGAGACATAAGTTTTACTACAGATCACAAAATTCACTATTGCCATAACTTCAATTAAAAGTCAGGCAACCTAATTCCCAATCATTTAAATTAAAGTAGCTTGACAAAAATGTATTCAAAAGCAGATAATAAAAAAATATTCAGGGGAGCCAAGATGGCGGCGTGAGTAGAGCAGTGGAAATCTCCTCCCAAAAACACATAGAGCTATGAAAATATAACAAAGAAAAATCTTCCTAAAATAGAGACCACAGGACACAGGACAACATCCAGACCACATCCACACCTGCAAGAACCCAGCGCCTTGTGAAGGGGGTAAGATACAAGCCCCAGCC